CATCAGGAGGGAGGGAGGATCATCAGGTCAGGAGGGAGGGCCATCAGGTCAGGAGGGAGGACCATCAGGTCAGGAGGGCCCTAGAAGAGGTGGGAGGAGCAGGGGATGGCATGACCCGGAGAGGCGGACCTGTTGGGACTAAGCTTTCTCAGCAGGCAGCCACTCTGCTCACCTCTGCCCACCGGCTCCACCTGCCTTTCTCACCTTCCCTCCTGATGTCCCTCTCCCTCAACCCTGCCTTCTTCCTTCATCTCCTCCCCCTGCCCAAAGCAGCTGGGCCCCTTTCTCCCAGGTAGCAGAGTAGTCATTCAGGGGCCTCAGGAAAGGGGGGGTCAGACTGTGGCAGGGTCCTTGCCTCCCGCTAGCTGCACAAAGGGGCGTCTGTTGGCCCAACAATGTCTCCTTTGTCTCCAGCCGGGCTGGAGCAGGGTGGCTCCCCACTGTGGGTTGGGGGCCCAGTGTTCCGCATGTTCTCTGCTCTGCACCTGGGCTGGGACAGAGGGACTGAGGAGGAGCGGGGAGAGCTGTGCCGCCCCCGCGCCTCCGTTCCCAGGCCTGGGTCCCTGCCTGCCCCCCTTCTCTCCCCTGCCCCTGGCTTGGGCCCCCTGGCCTGGGCCCTCCGGATCTGCCCTGCCCGCCTCCCGCACAGCAGCTCCCTCTGCTGGGGACCCAGAGCGTAGCAGGGCCCGAACCTGACCCTTTGGCCTCAGGTAACTGCAGAGGAAAAGGGTTGGGGTGTCTGGGAGAGCAACATCCTCGTCTCCCTGAAGGAAGTAAAGAAACCAGGAGGAACTTCCTTCGGGGGGGAGAGATCCCATAGTGTTTCTGGTCTGTCCCCAGTGACTGACTTCCGTGCTGTTTCACCTGCCTTTTCTTGCCTTTTTTTTTTTTCTTAAAGATGTATTTACTTATGCACACAGAGCTGGGGCACAGGCCAGACGTGCGGGGGGGTGAGATGATTCCCCAGAGACAGAGTGGGGAGCAGAACAGGCAGATGGACTGAAACCCACTGCGGAGGGGAGCAGCGGGGGAGACAGGAGAGGTCGGCTGCGCCCTGGGGGTGGGGGGTGGGGTCCCTCGCTGGCCGGGGATCGAACTGGCGCCGAGGCGGCGGCACCCGCTTGCAGCGCTGCGCATCCTGCATCGCGTCCTGCGATAATGATAAACCGCTGCGCCCCGCGATAGTCCGTTGCGCCGCTGGGGAGGGCCCTCGGCTGCTTTTTGTTCGAAAAGCTGCATCACGACTCTGCAAGAAACTTTTGATGATCTGTAGCCCGTTTTCTGTCCCCTTGTTATTATCTCACCAGGCCGTTCAGAAGGATCCAGCTTGGCCTGAGGGAGCGACGGCTTCTTTCTCTCAGCCGGCGCCCACACTGTTGTGTCTTTTCCTTGCAGGGCCTCAATGTTCCAAGTGAGCCATCCTTTGAGCCGCCCGCCCCAGCGCCGTACCCTGCACCCCCACTGCCTCCAACCTACTGCCCCTGCTCTGTCCACCCCGAGGGCTTCCCGCTGCCCGCGTCCTATGAGCTCCCAGCGCCCACACCCCACGTGCCTGAGCCCCCCTACGCCTACGGCAGCATGGCGGTCCCAGTTTCCAAGCCGCTGACCCTCTCCGGCCTGCTCAGCGAGCCTCTCGCGGACCCCTTGGCTCTCCTGGACATCGGGCTGTCGGCGGGGCCACCTAAGCCCCAAGAAGACCCAGAATCTGACTCGGGATTATCCCTCAACTACAGTGACGCGGAGTCTCTGGAGCTGGAGGGCACCGAGGCCGGCCGCCAGCGCGGCGACTACGTGGAGATGTACCCCGTGGAGTACCCCTACGCCCTGATGCACAGCTCCGCGGCCCACCCCGCCTTCGCCCTGCCACCTGCGGACGCCGCCTTCGCCACAGAGTCGCCCCCAGGCACGGTGCGGGCCAAGCCCGCCGCCCGAGGGGAGGCGGGCAGTCGCGACGAGCGGCGGGCCCTGGCCATGAAGATTCCTTTCCCCACGGACAAGATCGTCAACTTGCCGGTCGATGACTTTAACGAGCTCTTGGCGAGGTACCCGCTGACAGAGAGCCAGCTGGCCCTCGTCCGGGACATCCGGCGCCGGGGCAAGAACAAGGTGGCCGCCCAGAACTGTCGCAAGAGGAAGCTGGAGACCATCGTGCAGCTGGAGCGCGAGCTCGAGCGCCTGGGCAGCGAGAGGGAGCGGCTCCTCCGAGCCCGCGGGGAGGCAGACAGGACCCTGGAGGTGATGCGCCAGCAGCTGGCTGAGCTGTACAGCGACATTTTCCAGCACCTGCGGGATGAGGCTGGCAACAGCTACTCCCCTGAGGAGTATGCGCTGCACCAGGCCGCGGATGGGGCGGTCTTCCTCGTGCCCCGCGCCGCCAAGATGGAGGCCTCAGACTGAGCTGTCCCGGCGGGCAGGGCAGTGCCGGGGCTTCCTGCGGCCCCCTGGTACAGGTCCTGTTCAAGCCCCGGGCGCCAGCTCTGGGGACCAGGTGGGGGCCTGACAACACGTGGCAGGTTTATTTGACTTGTGTGGAGTGTGAGGGAGGGCGGGGCTGTCTCCCGGGAGACGCAGCTCCGTCTCCAAGCGGCACCTTTGGGTCGGGCTTTGGGATATAAAGCGTTCTAGAGAATAGTCTTCCCCTGTGTCTTTCTTTTCAAGGGTGGGTGGAAGCAGAGCCAGCCTGAGTTCCTTACTTACTGGTGGTGGGGCGGGGAGTCCCCGAGTGAGGTACATGCAGAATTTGGGGCCTGCTTCCACCCCACTTTGATGTTTTAAACGTTTATTGATGCATACAAGAACTGGGGTACCAGCCAGAGGTGCGAGGATGAGAGAATTCACCAGAGGGGGGAGCACAACAGGCAGATGTCCTGAAAGCACTGCTGAGGGGAGCAGCGGGGAGACAGGAGAGGTCTGCTGTGTCCTGGGGGTCACTCCCTGGCCGGGGATCGAACTCGTGCTGCAGTGGCTGCGGACAGCTTCACAGTGCTGTTCTTTAATCCCTTGTGCCACAGGGAGGCCCCACCCCACTTTTCAAACACAAGGAAAACCACCCTCTCTGGAGGCTTCTGTTTATACAGCTGTGAGTCCCCTGAGCCAGTTATCCTCTGGGAAGTTCAGGCCTCTCATTCTCAATCCTTGGACCAGACTACAGTGCCCACTGGCCTTGTCTCCCCCACACCCAGTTTTACTGGATTCCCTGGGTCCTGATGTGCCAGGGCTCACAGGGAGCAAGTTCTCTCAATTGGAATGACAGTCTGGACACCTGTTTCAGGAAGTTTTACACCCAGGTCTCAGCAAAACCTGTTCCACAGCGGAGTACAATATGCATTTCTGTGAAAATCTCTCCCTGGCTGTTAGGCAAACATTACCTGATTCTTGTCTGGGGTTCACCCTTCTTCAGACTGCTTTAAGATTTGGGACCTTTTTTTTTTTTTTTACTGTTTTTTTTTT